CACACACACACACACACACACACACACACACACACACACACACACACACACACACACACACACACTCAGTGACTGTCAGAAACCAGCTCCTGTTCTTATCAACGTTTCCTTACCATTAAAACCAACGTTTCCTTGCAATAAAACTCAGCWGATCATCCCACGGAGTACCTTCATTCTTGGACCACGTATTTCTGTCTTTGTTGAATAAATATTGCCATAACATCTCTATTTGGATAAAATGTTCACACTACAATACTGTAGACTTATCAATATTTTAGACATTTTGAAGCATGGGTTCAGTGGACATGTTATGAACAATTAATATATTTCCTGTTGCAGATAGCTTTTTCGAACAACCTCAGATATGGAGATTATTTTGACTGGATTGTTGAGCTAAGAGCTAGCCCGAACCGTTCTTTTATAGGATTTTGGTGTCGACATTTTAAGCACCTCCAGCCACTTACAAAATTTATAGGAAAGAGGAGCGGAGATTGTGATAACAACTACTGAACCTGTAACATCTCTACCCACTTCTTCTATCCAGGCTGGCACGATTTATTTTTTATGTGTCTTYCTCTGGCATTATAAAATAATTTTGGTCACTCCCTGCCATATGTGAAATTTACAGAGAGGAAAATAAAACAACGTACAGAYGGAAATATCTTTTCAATCTCTGCAAACTCAAAGATCAGTACAGTGCCTCAAAAGTGTCCYGAGGCACCACGTCACCTGCTGAAAGAAGACGTTGGAAAACCAAACGGGACGTTCAAAMCACGCCCCTACTAGATAAAAGCCTGGCCCAATTGCAGTGGTGGGTACAGTTGAAAACACTAAAGCACTTATAGGGGAACTAATTTCCTGATTAGTGYTATAGGGCTTTTGCTGATTTTAAAATTTATTAGTGTAACATTTATAGGCTAAATTTAGAAGCACCTAACTGAGGTCTATAAATGTTATTGATCAACGTTAATGTTAACTGCTGACGGTGAAAGCTGTTGCACATTTTGTTCATTTGTGTGTCACTTATCCACTAGGTGACAATGTATGAATATGGCTGAGGAATGTCAATGATGTCTTAAGAGAGCAACATGGCAACATGTGACTTGTTGTCTGTTGAAGAATGTTCAAGGGTTTATTGGGTTATTTTAGTGCTTTAGAATTAGCTTTTGCTAAAAATTTCAGTGCGTTAGTGCTTTAGAATTAAGGGACCTAAATGTTTGAGTTGGTGTTTTTAGGGCTACTGGAACTAATTTTTAGATTAGTACTGCACACCACTGCCCAAATGCAGCCAACACCAAAGTGAATAAATGTCACCTTGAACACCTCAAAGCTATTGTGATTTTTTCACATTGCTTACATAGAATTATGTGGTTATTTGAAAGCAGTAGCAGCAAACTACACATCTTGTGCAACATGATGCTCCTCTGGCAGGAGAATAATACTATATATGAAGGAATRATGGTGTAATGCAACATTAATGGCAGTGTAAATCAGTTGCGTCCAGTTCTGGTGTTCTAGGTCCACTACCCCAGATGTTTCAGATGTTTCTCTGCTTCAGCACACCTGATTTGAATGTGTGGTGGCACGATTTACCAAGAATGCAGAAACACGTTGGAATAAATGCACAGAAAGTCTGCGTGTATGGTCGTCAAATGATTTAATCTGAGCAACAACAGAGCAGAAGTCAATCAGAGAAGTCTGTCAAGTTGTGGCTGGCTCGTCAGCGCAGAGCAGCTGATAATATAACATCCTGTGACATGCTTACAACCAATCACAGTTCGCCAACTGTGAACCATCTAACCAATGACTGGGCTGTCAGCCCGGAAACACCTTATCAAAATAAAAGAGGTCATGCATTGCTGGAGTCTTGAAGTCTGGGCCGATAGAGTAAACCAGCCTAAATTAGTTATCATGAGATATGATTACTGGACAGAGTCAAGGTAGAACAGATATACATAATTAATCCATAACAAATGTGTTGGTGAGCAATCTTCTGCATCTCTTGAGAGATCATTCAGCCATTAAAGCAGGTGTGTTACCATACACACTGAGTCCTAAGTGTCACTCCTGAATAATAATATTTTACAAAGCAAGAACCCTTATATGTGTTATTTTTATTTCTTACCTCACAAATGTGTGTGTGTGTGTGTGTGTGTGTGTGTGTGTGTGTGTGTGTGTGTGTGTGTGTGTGTGTGTGTGTGT